TGTTTTTCATTCAGTTCCTCTGGAGAACACAATGAAATAATCTCTTTTATTCAAAAGCAATAGATAACACGCATTGCAGACAAGTTGAGCTTCCAAGATTGACAAACTGAAGAAAAAAGAAGGAAAAATAAAATGCAAAAATAGTAATTTATTATGGAGATGAACAAAAAAACTGCAAATGGAGATCAGCGACTAGTTAGAGCGAGAAAGAAAGGGAGAAATGGTGCTTCACATGGAGCGAGAACTCCAGCTTCAACTGTGGGGTCACGAAAGAAACTTCTGAAACGTGTTATACGGTAGGCAAGACCACGATGCTGACACGAGACGCCAGCAGGCCGCGAATTTTTCGCGCGAGCTGCGCGGCAGACTTTTTGTGGCACCTTGCCGCGCAAGATTGCCGCTCGACGTGCGCGACAAGATCGCATCCGCCATCTACTCAAGCTCTGCTCTGCCAAATGAGGGCAGGGTGTGATGTTTTCAGCATTGCATGTGTTGAAGCTGGAGCGAAATGTAGAGGAGAAGGAGGAGAAGAAGTAGAAGGAGGCGGCGATGGAGGAGCGATACACGTACGTGTATGTACAGATGAAAAAAAAGAGAGCACTAGATGATTATACACGTAGAGATCAAAGCTGTTCGACCCGTTCTCGACTATCTTCCGAACCGATGGCACTCACACATTCGTCGCGATGCTCTTCGGCCTCGGTAGCCAACGGAGCGTATTCTTTATTTCTGAAAGAAAATATACTTATCATTAGCGTTGAAGTCATGATGTGGACCATGCATTGAGATGCCTTTTCGCAGAGAGATGGTCAGGAGTTTCTTGATAGTCACAACCAGGGTTTTGTCATTATTCCTGCTTGTCTGCTCAAAGACAGGGACAACGAAAGATAGCTCGTGGTCTTGTGCGTGGCGCGTTCCAGACTAATATATTCCTCACCAACCCAGCATCCTCCCTTTTTGTCAATAAGGTATGGAGCATCTATCTATCAATTGGCAAATTTTTACTCGAATTCCCACGATCGCAGGTATGCACGCGGCAACTACCGTATTCCATCTACATGGAATTTGATTATTCCCTTACTCAGCGCGCTCCGGAATGCGGCGGCGGATGTGAGCCGGTCTTTCAAATTAACATTCTGAGGATTATGCTTCACTCCACTTCTATAAGTGAAATCCACCCAGAACTTTGGTTTGCAGAGACCTCATAAACTATCGGGATCGAGCTGGACTCGGGACTAATGGAAGGCAGAGAGCATAAGCTGGAAGAGGGGACAATAGACCGACAGTCAGGCATGATTCTTCGTTTTCTTATGTCTGCTACAGCGAATATTACTTATCGCTTACCTCACTTTGTTGCTGTTTTTCCGTTGTAACTGTATTTGAGTGAAATTGAGGTTACTTGCAGTTGCAGTTTGCTTGTTAATGCACAATCTAAAAGAAGCTTACGATTAGGTGTGGCTCATTTACCTCCTTGAGAAGGATCGTCCTAACTTACTCTATGAATAGTTAAGTACCCAAGGAATGTGAAAATCACGCAAAAAAAAAACAAACTAGCGTTTTTTGTACTGAATATACCACTAGATTAGGATTATCGAACGCTACAAAATGGCGCTCTAAAGATTTGGTGCAGCTTCATCCCGGAACACCCCGATTTCAAGGCGTACCCTCTAATTTGATTGGGAATTTCGTCTGAGTTCAAGAATATAGCAATAGAATCGAAAACGATCCTGGGCTACAGTTGAAGCACTGCAGGGATCTCGTGGGCGATTTAATTACAAGTCAACCTTTCCTCTGCTGAGCGTCCCTTCAATCTCAATTTACGGCATAACCTTGTGAACTGTCCAAGTCTACTCCCTTACCAAATCTTACAGCTGAAAATGAGAACAAAGCAAAGTACTATGAATAGTAAAGTACCCGGGGAATCTGGCAGGGGGTGATCTAGGCATTATTGAACAGAATTCGTCCTCGGGAAACGGCTGGGATATGCTGTCAGTGAAATCGATAATCGATTGGAACTACGGTAAGAACTTGCACTTTGCAGGAATTTCTAGGTCTATTTTGTGTTCCTACCTGCAGCCAAATCAACCTAAAATTCCCTGCAGAGTTTTTACCGTAATCCGGGATCGATTATCGACTTTATCCTACCATGTGGAGGCTAGTCGAAATACCACATTAAAGGCACTGTTCACGAAAAAATGGTTTCGGAGATCTGCACATGGTTTGAATTCGACGCCCTCTCTGATACCATTTGTGCAGGAATGAGGTCGGGAAACGGTCTGGATAGAGCACAATAAGGGCAGGAACAGTGGGGGACGGGAGGCCTCCGCCCCTCGCTAGGCTGACTACGAAATCTAATTGCCGTTCATCACTTTCGCATTGGGCGAAGTTGTCTGCTTGGGTGTGTTGTCTGCTATTGCAGACATTGCGTCACCTTCCTGCACTCGCCCGAACACTCCCTTAACCGCCGTTCTTCCAATGTGAAACTCGTCCAACCCCCTTTCCAGCTCTTTTTTGACTCTTTTTATTTCTTTTTGTTCATCGTTTTCTGCGCTTTTTTCGTTGTTATTGCTTTATTCTAGAGTAGTTCTATGAATTCCCGTCAAAAAAGGGTACCGGAAATTTATCGTGAACGGTGCCTTTAAATAAGGATGCATGCCTTAAAATCAGAGTATTTCGGAATAAATCTTTTCCAAAACTCCGAAATATCTTTTTTCAAAGTTAAACAAGCCGAATTGGAATACGTGTCGAACTTCCGAAAAACTTATATTCTGATTGACTTATAGAGGAAAAAAAAAAGAAAATGACGCAAGCTCGCATATTTTTCACTATTTTACAGTTCCGTGGAGGATGCTGTAGTAAACAAATAATTATAAGTAATTAATAGGAATGTGTCAACTTACGATTGTGCTCCACTTGGCAAAAATACCAGCCAAAACGTTTGACGGTAACGAGATGACATTACACAGTACAATACAAAATTCACCGAAGAATTTAGTAGTGATAACAAATCCAATATATCACCCAAATAAAAGTACAAATATCTGAAAAATTACAATTTTTCCCCTATAAATATTGGGAAATGTTGCTCTACCTCTACAAAAATATACTTACTTATGAACGTCTGTAGTAAAAATGGCACATAATATAGAGATAATTCCTTGAGGCAGTTCTGTTATCAAAAACACCGCTAAAATCACAACCAACATCGTCGTCGTGCGGTCTGATCGATGGGATTTCCTTAAAATCATGAGTTATACTTGACTATAGGAGGAACCATCACACACCGTGGTTTGAAGATCGAATCCCGAATCGATACCCGCCCAGGCCAACCAAGCCTTATTCTTCTAGACCGGTTAGTTGGTGCTAGGCTTGTCTGGGAGGATAAAGACACTGACTTGTTCATTGGCTGGGCACTTCAAGTCATTATCTAGGCTAAGTACTCATTCAAAACACCTCTACAATTCAGAATGGAAGTCGAATGTGAGGCGCATCCCAAAACGGGACCAATTCTGACCAAAAAACCTTACCTTTTTACATTGTAATAAGGTCAACTGTAGAGGAACAGCTATGAATGAACGGAAGAGCAGAGAGCAGCTCTGTTCTGTGTGGAGCCGTCATAATTTCAGACGGCCTGCTACTTTGTGAAGAAGTGTGGGAAAGGAAAACGGTATCCAGACAGCCAATGAGAAGCCTTCGAGGTACTGCTAGCGAGTTTCTCATTGGCTGGTGGTCGAGAACTGCCTCAAAACGTTCTATCTTCGCAACAACGAAACCTTTGCTTTTGATGCACGGTAAGATAAACTGCAATCTTGGCAATACTTCAACAAAGACTGCAAGGAAGCTGATCACCACGAAAGAAAGGCAGAAATTTCCCATGAGAGACATTTATCTGTTAGCCACTCAGCCAAAAGCAATGGAGCTTCTGTCACCCAGGATAGATTAGCCTTCTCTTGCAGATTGGTGAGTGACGCAAACTACCATTATAATGAAGCGATAAGAGTTATACCATTGATACTGAGAACACTTACTTTTTTGCAGACATACTGCTGCTATCGCATGAGTTCACGTTGTTCAGGCTGACGTTCGTGAGCTTCCGTCTATGCTTCTCAGCTTGCCGTATCTTATTTACCAGACCTACGCTGAAGTACATCAGCAATATACAAGGAATCACCTGAAAAATCAATTCTATAGAGAAAAATTTAATTCATCATCAGAAGAAACTTATTATTCAATTTATTACTAATAAAAAATTTATTGGACAAAAGTTTCCGCGCGTCACAAGAAAAAAAATAGTTCCAGGTGGGGGTAATGCATGGCCTTCAAAACCGACTT